GCTGCAGGCTGTTCCTCTACCAGTGCCATGGCACAAAAAAAAAAAAAAGAGTTCAGCTTTACCTGAGAGTCCAAAAGTGATTATGGTGATGGAGATCTTCATAATTAGACAATAAAGTCCCTTTAGGCTGATGTGCTTAGCTCAGGGCTTCTACAACACAGTTGGTTTGTAAATCATCAGTTCAGAAGTAGAGTTAAAGCTCTGTATTTTCCCCTCACTGTTTCAGATCAGTAAGACAATGTCTGCCTTGCTCTCCTAAGTATCTAACTGGCATTGGAAATGCTTTCACACTGGCACAGCTTAAGTGGAGTTTCCATTGTGGGTTTACACCTCCTTTCTGTTGGAAACAAGTATAAACGTGGCTGGTAGTGCTTTCTGGTCTTTTTTTTTAAGGGTACTGCATTGAGATGGCTGGGAAGCCCTGGGCAGATTTTCCCTCTGCTGGCATATTCTATATTATTGTGGGTTGGGCCTTTTAATGCCGGATTTAAGATACCTTCTTTTTCCACCAAAAGTATGTGATAACCTTTGCTTTATTCACAGTAAGTGACTGGCAGTGACAACAGGCTCTGCTTTCATCAGAAGCTGCTGGGGTGGATTCCTGCACTGGCTGCTTCTCCAGCCTGTTCTGCTTGTAGATAAACCCAGGCTACTACATACTGAGGACTCTTTTTTTTTTTTTTTTTTTTTTCCCCTCCAGCCTCACTAATTTCTGCCACTATTGCCAAGTGGCTAAAAAAATGAAGTAGGTGTGGATTTTTTTGGTCATAAAGTAGATTTGCCTTTTTAAAGTGAGGGCACCAAAATGAACAGCATGTTCTGAGGACATTTTTGAGTTTGGGTGAATGTGCTGGTCAAGACTTTGCTCTGACTCTGACAGCTGATTGCTGGTAATGTTGTTCTGGGAAGGCTGCATGCAAGTGGACACTTGAAGGGAAAAAAAGTGAGGTCCTTTAGACATACTTTGACGCAACTGCAGGAGTGCCAGGAATTTATTAGCAGCTGATTAGCTGTAGTTTACATAGGGAGCACTGCCAAGTTTACATTGTTGTCTTTAATTGTAATGTAGCTGGCCCCCTTGCAGCTGAAGGATTGTTAGAGTTTGTAGCTTGGAGCTGACATCTTGGCAGCTGCAAAATATCATTCTGTGTTGTGCTGCATATTTTAGTTGTGGAGTGCTTCAGGCTGTGAAGTACTCTTGTCTAATTTCATACAGATGAGACACTGGGTTGGTATGTAGGTCCACCTCTGATACTGAATCATCGTGGAGGAACAGAATGTTTGGGGGCCCCTAAGTCATCTCTGGAGAGTTGCTAGAGGAGAGCAGGTATGTGTACAGTGCCTGTCTGCCCTTTGGGGTTATTTGATTAGAGCATTTCCAGACTGACTTCCTTTAGTGAAATGGAAGTTCTCAGTAAATATTTAGAAAACATCTGCATCATTATGTTTATGCATGGGAAGACAGAAAATGCAAGGTTACGTTTCTCCAAGCAGCCTTGACTTGAACCATGAAGTAGCTGTGTCCCACCTTTGTGGGTGGCATAAGTGCTCTCTGCTTTGCTGCCTGACTGAAGAGCAAGCTCTGAGCAGGTGCACAAGAAACTAACGTGCTCCTTTACTCTCTGCTGCTGGCTCTGCATTACACATCTGTGCAGGTCTAGTCTTCTTTGAAAGGTGTGAGAACATCTCAGGGCTGCATAGAATAGAACTAGTGAAGGAAGAGAAGGGATGTGCTGCAAACAGCAGCACATTGGTGTGGTTTTTTAATTTTTTTATTACCATTTCTGGTAATAAGAGGAAATATGAGTCTACTCTTCCCTTATTTATTTGTTTTAAACTGAAGCTTTAATGAGTTAAAAAGTTACTGAAGATTCAATTAAAAGGTGCCAGTATAATTTTTTCCTATGTTAGCTGTAGCCCTGTGCTTTTTTCCTTGCCTCCCTTTCACTTTTCATTTCTGTCCTTTGTGTTATCACCTCCATTGTGTGGTTTCTAGAAATCCGCCCTTTTTATCTAAACACTTATTTGTTTTTACCCTTAGAGATGTGGATTCTTTCCACAGCTCCTATCACTTTCCACTTGAGGACAATACTCGGCTCTGCCCTGTACCTCTTGATTTGGCAGTGTTCAATGCCTCTGCTGGCACCTTTTCCCCTTTCCACATTGCCTTTGGAGTATCTGTGTTGTTTGTAAAAATAAAACAAGCTTCTATGGCTTTCATAGGTTATTATTTATTTTTTTTTTCCCCAGCTCTTGCTTTTTTCTAAGATTTGGATTTTCCTGTCTGCTTCTGCAGGATACGTGCTGCATCCTGTGCCAATTGTGAAATAAGAGGGTGTAAGTGACACCTGTCTTGTCCCATGTATTTCTTCTTGCTTCCATCATTTTCTTTGAATTCAGCTTTCTCATCCTGCTATGTATCTTGCTGTTGTCTTTCACCTCTTCTGGTGAGATAGAATGGATCTTCATAGCTCTGGGTTTCCTTGCTGCAAGTTTGTCATTGATCCTTACACAAAAGTCTCTTAATTTGAATTGGTCCTCACTGAACTCTCTCCACCACTTTCTCTGCTGCTGAAACCAAGTGGTAGGTGAAAGACACATGACCTCAGGAAGTCCGTGTTTTTTGACACTCAAATGCATTTATCAAGTTTCTTACTTTCTCTTGTTTTTTTCCTAAATGTCTTGATCACTTATTCTTTGCATCTTTTACTCCTCTGCCCTCTGTCATTTCAATGTCCGTCTGTCCAAGTGTGACTTGTCACCATCTCCTGTGCCATGCAGTTGAAAGCACTGGGAATAGTCATTATGACTACTCTTCTTATGACTATTTCTTTTATGCCTTGAACTGAATCCTATGCCTAGGATCCCAGCGTACTTGTTACTGATTTGCTTCTCTAATCTCATCACCATTTTTCTCCTTTTTCTCTTTGCACTAATCTGTTCCAGGAGAGTCTGACCAAACTGAGCCATACTGATTCTCATCTTCCCACTTCTATTTCTCACTTTGTGGACAGCAGAAGAGGAAGCTCTTCTTTAATTCAACCATTTGCATCCTCTTGATATGCCTTTTTCCAGGTCTTGGCACCTCCCTTACTGTACTATCTGGCTCTTCTCTGGTATACATTAGTTTCTTCCAGGATTTAAGGGGCAAAAAAAAGAGAGAGAAAAAAACCAACAAACTGAACTGCTAGTGGCATCCTTGACCTCACTGGTCTCTCCAGCTACCTTCTTCTCTGCCTCTCCTCTCCCTCTTGCAGACTGTGCATCATTAAACTGCTCTCCTCTGGTTTATTCCTGGACCCTCTCCAGCCTGGCTCTTTTTTCTTCTGTTATACTGTAGCCAAAATATTAGCTCTGTTTCTAGCTGGAGCTTACAAGTCTGACCTCTCTTGACTTGAACTGACTGTTGGTATTGACTGCTGTTCTTGAAATTGTGTGCCTCTCTCCTCCAGCAGCTCTAGGAGGGAGGAATTGGTGTTCAGGAGGTGCACATTCCTCTGCTATCTGTATGCAGGTATAACTGCTGGCTCCAGGCATATTTCCATTTTTCTAAATGAAACTCTTGGCTTTTCTTTTAAGTGTTTAAGTATTTATTTCAGATCTATTTTTAACTTCACCTTTGAAAGCTTTGTGTTCAGGGATGCTATTCCTGTTATCTCTTGTCATCTCTGTGTCAGTTGTTACTGATGCTGTTATCATTCTGCCAGTCACTCGGTACATGTTGTAATCTGTGTCCTGGCTTTGGATCCTATGTGTTCAGGTGAAGAATCCATTCAAGCCTTTCAGAAATTGTCTGAACATCTATTTCTAAGGCCACACTTCATCTTTTTGTGTAAGCAGATCAACCAGTGGATTGCCAGGGCATTACAGGCCTTGTGGTGATGACTAGCCTCCTGTAGAAAGTGGGAAAGCAAGGAAAAGGTATTATCTCCATCTCTGGGGGATGCTCTGCACGTGAATCAGACTGTGCAACGTTCTGTGCTTCACCCTTCTTACCTACATGTGCAGCTAGGAGTGGGATGTCACCTGCTGCTTCAGCAGCATGGCTACCTGACCTTGCCTGAATCTTGTTAATTGGGAGTGCTGATGCAAAAGACTAAGTTTGATCCTATTATCACTCCTTCTGTATAGCTTCCTTTTTTGTGTTTCCTATTTCTTTGCCATATTCAGTGTGTGAGCAGTTTTTCCTTTTTGAAGCTCCCTTTGGCTCATCTCCACCCTGCCTGATACTCCTGTTTCTCCAGAGATTAGTTGAATGTGGATTAGTAGCAGTGTTCTTCCCACTCATTTCTAGTGGATTATTTTTTTTTCTTTTCTATACTTTCCCTCAAACTTTCTGCAGCTCTCTCCCAAACTTTGACATGCAGAAAAGCTAGGCAGTCCTTATGTTGTTGGTGGGCTGAGAGCTAAACAGAAATGTTCCTTACCGCTGACTTGGTGCATTTCATTGTCCAGTCCCTTCTTTCTGCAGCTTCTTCCTTAAGCTGAGGCAACAGGCTGTAGGAATTTGGGGACTGGTGTTAGCACCTTCTGCTAGCACCTGGCACAATGAGGATGCAGAACTGGAACTTCTGAACCTTCAGGAAATACTGATTGAAGGGCATTTCTATCTTGCTACAAAAAGAGGAATAAAGTGGCACTTCAGAAGGCTCCTGCATCACACATGTTCAAGTTGCATGGGAAATAAGCTTTAGATTCCCCCTGCAACTTACATAGAGGAATATGAAACTGCTGCTTTTTGGCACTTAATGCAAACAGGAAGTTTGAACAGGGGAGGAAAAAAACAGAAGAAAGATTTGAATCCTTCAGTCTCTGACCATGTACCTGTTGTCCAGGACTGCATCAGAAACCTGCAGTACCTCTGCTTAATGGAAACAAATGGGACTTAGGCTGTGTTTGATCACTGGCACATGTAGCTTTTTTTCTTGTGTGTTTATATCAAACTGGAAGAGTATTTGGCAAACTGCTATTTGTATGTTGCTATAGCAAACCTGTTCTCTCCGGGAAGAGAGCTGTAAGTGTATGTAGCAAAAATACTTTTCACTTAATTCGTGTAAACAAATCTGTAGAGGATGTTGTGTCTGTAGACTTGTTTATTCCCCTTTTTTCAATTTGTAAAGGCACATTCAGTCTTTGATATGTTTCTATTTTGGGAGGAGTACGTTCTGTTGAACTTTTTTCCCTCCAGAATGCCATGACTTTGGACTCAGTTCATTGCCTGTTTGGATTTGTATTGTGCTAAATTTTGTCTAAATACACTGAAATATTTAGACTGATAAAAAATAATTTTGTGAAACATAGCTCCTCTCCAGTATTCCTCACTTGTACTTGTTCCTGAACATTTTGTCTTCAGGAATTCCTTGAACATTTTTTTTTTTTTTTTTTGTCCTCCCAACCTGGAGGTTTGCAGTCCAGGTATTGCAGTCAGTGCAGCTTCTGTGTCCACAGCACTGAGCAATATTCACCATTGTTCAACTTTCTGGCTGTGTACTTCTCTCTGCCCTTGCTTATTGCTTATTTATCTTTGCATTTGCATTTTACATTTTTAGAGAGTCTCCATTCCTGCCTGTAGTCAGAGCTGAACTGCTGGGGAAGGTGGGTGGGAGTGGAAGGCAGAAGCACACTTTGTCTCAGCTGATTGATGGTGGTGTCTTTGGTTTGAAATATCTGTGTTATTTAATAGTGTGTTAGTTGAACCAGCTGAGTCATGCTGATGACTGTGCATGCATTTTGAAGTTGCTGCTACTAGATCAGTTCTGGCAAGATCTCTTGAGTGAGATGTTGCTATTAGAAGGCATTAAAACCATTTGAAGTTACTACAGGTGAAATTATAATATGGAAACACCTTGATATGTTTTAAGGAAGCTAAACTCTTCACATTGAGAGAGACCACATCAAGACTCCACGTTTGCCAGCGTGTCCTTGTGCCAGCATATTTGAAAGCACATAGGACTGTGGGGCACAGATTGCAGTGAGAGTTGGGTGTTTAGCCCAGATGCAATCTTTGGGTATTTGTCTACCTTCAGGGTTTATAATGATGAGTTCACTTTTACAAAAAAGGAGAGAGAGAAGAGAAACCAGAAGCAAACTAGATGTGACATGTCCATGTGATGCCTATTGGGAAGATGGGAACTCTTAATAGAATAGTCCATCCTTGCAACTTGATACAGGGTGAGGAAAAGCTTCTTACTTGCCTTCTGAGATAAATTATTTTACTTGAAAGGGGATTAAATTCAACAAGGATGAAATTCAACAAGGGAAAGTGTAGAGTTTTGCATTTGGGGAAGAACAACACCATGTACCAGTACAGGTTGGGGGCTGACCTGCTGGAGAGCAGTGTAGGAGAAAGGGACCTGGGGGTCCTGGTAGATAGGAGGTTGACCATGAGCCAGCAATGTGCCCTTGTGGCTAGGAAGGCCAATGGCATTCTGGAGTGCATTAGAAAGGGTGTGGTTAGTAGGTCAAGAGAGGTTCTCCTCCCCCTCTATTCTGCATTGGTGAGGCCGCATCTGGAGTATTGTGTCCAGTTCTGGGCCCCTCAGTTCCAGAAGGACAGGGAAGTGCTTGAAAGAGTCCAGCACAGAGCTACAAAGATGATGAAGGGAGTGGAACATCTCCCTTATGAGGAAAGGCTGAGGGTGCTGGGTCTCTTTAGCTTGGAAAAAAGGAGACTGAGGGGTGACCTCATCAATGTTTACAAATATGTAAGGGGTGAGTGTCAGGGAGGTGGAGTTAGGCTTTTCTCAGTGATGACCAGTGATAGGACAAGGGGTAATGGGTGTAAATTGGAGCATAGGAGGTTCAAGGTGAATATCCAAAAAAAATTTTTTACTGTGAGAGTGACAGAGCACTGGAACAGACTGCCCAGGGAGGTTGTGGAGTCTCCTTCTCTGGAGACATTCAAAACCCACCTGGATGAGTTCCTGTGTGATGTACTCTAGGTGACTCTGCTCTGGCAGGGGGGGTTGGACTAGATGATCTTTCGAGGCCCCTTCCAACCCCTAGGATTCTATGATTAAATCTACTTTTGTCAGAAGGTCTCTATTTATGTGGTAGGGTTTTCTGGTGATTGTGTTGTGGCTTTTTCAGGTGTCTGGGTTCATAGAATCGTAGGCACACACAGCAGTCCATAAAATATGTTGTCTTCTGGTGTCAGTGTCTTGAAGATTCTGGATAACGGTTGAAGTTCTGGACCCTGGAGTTCCATAATTATATGAAACTTTTGGCTGAGTGCATTTTCCTTTTATGGATCTAGTGTTCATGGTGTGAGGAGGAGCTTGAAAGAAGTTGTGAAAACTTGAAAGTTGAAGCCTGAAAGGTGGATTTGTCACTCTTCAAATTTATTTCAAAAAAGGCTGTATTTTTACAGGGCATGGGTTATGATTCATGAATACCTAGAACTGTCAGGTGTGAGGGTATTTTACTTCTAACAATCTTTCTCAATATGCCCTTTGCTGCTGCTCTGTATTTATCTGTGTGTTTAAACCTCCTTTTCCACTTCCAACCTTTCTGTTGGGTGCCTAACTGAAGACTGCGTTTAACAGAACAGCAGAGACATTGTCTCTGATAGATGAACAGGAGTTTTAGATATTTCTAATTCAAAAGGGAAGTGATTGAGAGAGAATGAGAAACCTGAAGCTGTAAAACTTGGTTTGCTCTTGTGTCATAATGCCATATTGAAAAGCGAATGTCTTAAACTGGGAACAAAAATGTGGGAAATGGTAAGTGCATGCCAGCAAGCTGAGTGTGTTAGTGGCAGCTCACTTATCTGACAGATAAGAGCTTTTTTAATTTTGCCTTTAGATTGTTGATGTCAAATGAGATACTTTATAAAGCTGTAATGAATGGAGCTTTATGGCACCTCATTTTCTTTCCCATTTTTAAAAATCTTTCCAGGGGCCAGCCACCTGTGTAGCCTTTTCAAGAACTGGAGACTTATTTGCCTCTGGAGGTTCTGATGAACAGGTATGTGACTGGTTTAGTTTGACTGTTGTGTGACTTCTTGTTACTGTTTTCTAGGCATCTTAGTGCTTTCAAAGACAAAACAAATACTAAAAATAGTGAGATATATTAAACTTTCCTTAGTGAGGAAGCACTTCAGCTGAATTATCTAGGAATGGGTATGTACAACAGAGGATGTATTACCCTAAGTACAGTCCTTGTTATGCGTCTTGCTGAGGCATCTGCTTGTGGGAAGTGGGTTAGGCGGGTGTCCAATGGCTGAGTTGAGAGACCTTAAATATCATGGGCTATGCTGATGGATCCTCATCTGCCGTTGACTAGTTCTGAGCCACAAGTATAAGGACAAGGCAGGCAGGAATGCTTTCCTTGAATACACTTCCACACCCCACTGGTCTACAATGTTCTGTATTTCCTGTTCCTCCATGCTCTCCTGCTCCCACTGATCTGTCGTATCAGCCTTATTTGAGCCACTGCAGCTTAGCCACCTCTGCTGACTGAGAGCAGATGGTTTTGAGTCTGATTGTACACAAATACAGACTGCAGATCTCTCTATTAATGGGAGTCTGGTGCAAAGCTGTGCTAATGCTGCAGTTGCACAGCTTTTTGGGTCAGGGTTGGACTTTTCCTCTGCTGACCTTGATTTGTACACTAGGATTAAGAGCCTGGGTGTCTCATAGTGCTGATAAAGGGTTTGTGTGGATGACGCAGTTAGGGCAGGAGGGAAGAACTCTATCTTCAAGTTCTGAGTTGTAATCCATAACTAGCATAGTTAAAGTATCTCTGCTGAAGATATGGATGGACTTCAACCTGAAGTAGTGCTTTGAATAAGTGTCCATTTTCTGTCATCAGTCTTCACTGAGCTGTTTTGTATCACTCTTAATCCCCAGGTTAGATTCAGTGGCAGTGCCCCTCTTTGTTGTGATAGCACCTTTGCTGGCTGTGAACAAACAATCCATACAATAAAAGAGCATCGCTTTTTTGCTGTTACTCAGTGGAACTGTCTTGTTGGTTAACTATGTAACTACACAAGAAAAATGCTTTTATTTAACACAAAGCAGGGATGAAAACTTGTGAGTGAAGAATAAACCCTGCTGTTTCTGATGACCAAGAAGAGCTGCATGGTTTCATAGGTGTCTTTCCGACTTCTGAAATAGCTCATTTATTGCTCTTGAACTTTTTTAGACTTTTAGAGCCTAAGGGTATTTCTCCATACATTTGTTCTTGATATGTTGAAGTAGTTTGTGTTAGAGGCCTCTTTTCTGAAGTAAATACTGCATTATGGAGAGAAGATACCTGTAAGTTTAGTGTTTAGCTGACAAACTATCTCAAGATCTCCAGTGTTAGTCTCAAAATACTAGTTCTCCTTTTCCTGTGAAGGAATCTTGTTATAAATCAGTGACTAGTTGTTTGGGGTGTGGCTGATTAAGTGCCATAGTGCTAAGCATGGTATGTTAATATATTTGTGGTTTTAATGGTGTATTCTACATGTTACTTTGAAGTTCTCTAGGCAGCTCTAGTTTCATGATGTTTCTGACCCAAATAATGTTGGAAGTGGTCACTTACCCATTGAGCACTCAGTTATGTCTACATTCATTAGTGTGTTTACAAATAACATCCTTATTGCAATCAATGGCAAAAGCTTTCTTAGGTAAGCTCTGGTGTGCATCTGCTGACTCTTCTCTGATGTGTTGACAAAATTGACCTTCAAGCAAACATAGACAGAAAATTTTAACTGAGATAACTTTGTTTCTGCAGGTTATGGTGTGGAAGACTAACTTTGATGCGACAGATTATGGTGATGTACTTAAAACACAGAAGTCTGGCACTAGCATGGATGGAACCCACCACACTCTGGTAGGTCAACATGGCAGAAATCACAGAGTTCCTTTTCAGTACACTGCATCTTGGAAGCATGTGTCTCTTTCAAGCAGTTGCACTATAGCCATCTTTCCTTAGTATTTGTTTGAGCTGCAAGATGCCTGTTTTTAAGCAATCTTTTATTGTTTGATTTGTTTATCTGTACTTACTTGACAGGAAAAACATATATTATGGTTTTAAAAGAGAAATAAATTTAGTGCTTGTATACTTGCATTTTTTTATTAACAGCCTTTGTTTAAGAATGTGTGTTAGGCTTGGATGATTTCCACAAGGAAAAGTACAGACCTGAGTAACAGCTGAAGTCAGTTTTGATAGCTGATGTGAATCTTTCAGGCTGGTGTCAGTCCTGAAAATAGATACTGTTCACAGCACCTTTTCACTGACAGTTAGCAAAGACAAATCTCTGTGCACAGACTTCACGCATGAGAAATAGGTGACATATTATACTGGAGCTTCTTTCCTAAATGCTTGGGTTTGTTTCTGTTGCCTGGACCACATTTTAAGAGACATGAGAGTTCTGTGTCTGAAGGATAAATCAGCCAGCTGAGTAATTCAGTATGATGCACTGATCTAAGTGTAGCACTGATGTTGGTTGTTGCCTATTATTTAAGTAACTCTTTAAAATTACTGTCCGTATGAGTTAAAACTGTTGCACATGGTGATGCTTCACTTAAACTTCTGTATTTTGTCTTGTCAAGCTTTGGATATTTTTTATACATTTGAGTACATCTACAGGATTCTTAAATGTGTTATGGCTGTGGCTGGTTTTGGTACATGTTGTTCAACATGAGCTGTAAGCTAAAAAGGTGGTTTGTGAACCAGGGGATTTATGCACATGTGGCATTGCCTCAGTGGAACGGTAAACTTCTAGCCAGCATCTGCTGCTCAGTGTCTTTCATCTTAATGAACTAAGATCTTCTTTATTGGGGTACTAAAATTATGTTCTCTCTTAAACAGAGTAGTGTTTTTATGTAATGTGACTTCAGTCCATCACTGGAGGTGTTGGAATAGCTGTGATGTTTTGTGATGGACAGGATATGGGGCTGCAGTTCTAAACCTGATACAATGTGCAGTGCTCTGTAAAGAAAGCAAAAAGAGCCTAAGAACATTAGTAGTGCTACATGAGTGGGAGAGGATGGCAGGAGGCAATCACGGGAGGAGGAGGGGAAAGTGTTTATTGATCCTCTGCTTGGTTTTGGATAAAACTGACTTCTTTTTCCTCCTCTCCTGTGTTCTAACTCTGAAATTATGCAGGCAATAGAACTGTCAGTCCAATGACCTCTTTGTTTATTAGCCTATTGAACTGGTTCCTGTGTTATGTGCAACTTACAGAAGATCAAACTGAATGACAGTCAGTAGGATTCTTCCCTTCTATTTACTTCTTGGATAAATGTGATGTTGTCTTTTGGTCTGCATAGTACAAGTGATGCTGCCACTAGATCTGCTGGATTAGCTATGAGCATTAATAGACTTGTAAATTTAACCTTAGTGCCTTCGATAATAAAATGATCCCTAGTTACAAAGCAGGGGTGAAGGTGCTTGCAGTGGAGATCTTGGGCGCTCGCTGGCACAACTGGGACCAGTGTTTTGGTCAGTTAAGTTTGTTGTTGTAGTTCAACAATGGGGTCTCTTTTATGCAGTGAAGAACACTTTTACCTGGCAAGTGTAGTGCAGCTCTGTCCTGCTACAAAGGAGCAGAGTTTCAATGTTTGTCTGGTGCTGCCAAGGCCAATACAGTTTAAATCTGGGGGTAGGTGTGTCAGCTGCATCATGACTGCTTGTTAGAACAACAATCTTGTAGGCTGCTGGAGCTGACACCTGGTCCCTAAGAGCTCATTACACCTCATGAGAATGGAAATGCAAAATCTGACTAGTACTCAGTATCCTTGTGTGTTAAGTTAATAGGAATGCAACTCTTTCATGTTAAGGCAGTTATAATGGCCTTAACTTAGAAGGGAAAGAAAAAGCAATGTATTGGAGACCCTGTATTGAATATCACAGGCAAAGTTTAAATTCAGAGTTGATATTAAATATTTTTTTGGTGTTAAAAAGAATCTGGTATCTTTGAAAATGGCTTGGTTTGCAATTTTAAGGAATAGCTATAACCTAAGCATGGAAATTTTGGCTCCATAATAGCTTATTTATTCATGGCAGTCTACTTGTTTCTTTCAAGTGAATTTAATTACTTTTATCTTTTAAAATGTACTGTGCTGGGCTCTTACAAAACACTGTCACTGCTGCAACTTACTGCAAGGCTTAAATTTCACTATATATTGAGTTCCTTCTTGTTTTGAGCAAAATGTTTACTTTTAAATAATGAAGTACTTATTTTGGTGGATTTTATGTATTGAGTTATTTTACCTGTCAAGATCAGACTTGAAACTGCCACCTGTGGCTCTTGACTTCATGCTGAGGTCACCTTTTCTTTCAATGAAAAGTGAAGCTTCTTCATCCTTTTCTCCTGTGTGCCAGGATTCTGCTTCTTGGATAATACTGAGATTTTTGAGGACTTTTTGGGATGTAGCTACATTTAAAACAGGTATATAGATTGTTACTTGTTTTTTTGGTTACCCCTAAACCACACAAATCCTGTTCTTGAGATTTTTCAAATCTGTTTTCAGCCTTAAGTCAGAATATTTTTCCAAGGAGAGCTCTTGTGTAGCTGTATAATTTTTTTCTGAAGTGTTGTGAAAGCACAAATCCTACTCAAAACAGGCTGTATAAAAGCACTCGGTTTAGTATCCCCTTTCTCATGGGGAGAGTCAGGCTAATGTGCAAGTGTTAAGGAAGAATAACTGAACACAGACATCAAACCTAGTTTGTCATCAAGATGAATAGGAAGAATAAAGAATCCTAAATAAGCTATGGGATAAAAGAGGGATGAAACACTGTCAGGGTTGGTGAGCTTGAATACAAACTTGCTCAAACAATTTTCACTTCCATAGACAAAGAGAGACTGGAGTCATTAGAAGATGCTGGTTTCTCAGGCCTTTGGTTGAGGTTCATTATGAATTAGGGTATTGGACTTGTTTGAAACAATAGGCATGAACTTCAAAGTTGCTCTACCCACCTGGTTGTGTTTTCTGTAAATATATGAGGCCTGGGAGATGCAGCTTGTTTTGAAAGGAAAGCTGCTCCGTGCAAGGACTAATGTGAATGAAAGAGAAGCTCATGATAAGCAGGAATTGCAGCCATTGACTATGGTGTAAAATACAGACCTGAAATTGTGGTAAAGAGAACACTAAAGCTGTCAGAAGTGAATTATAAATATCTGGTAGTGTAGATGTGAAACTCTAAATGTTAGATCGGAATAACAGTAGCTCTGACATAAATGCTTACTCTGAAGTTATAAGCTAACAATTGCTGCAATTAAGTGTTGCATGATTGCCTTGAAAATCAAAGTTAAGGGCAAGTACTCATGATGAGGGCTGTGAGAGGCTGATGGGAAGAAAAGAAGTCATATGATTCTGTGTCTTGATCCTATAGGCATCTGAGTTTGTTTTGATTTAAAATCTAAAGGGTCAGAGTAAATTCATACTTTAAGCTGCAATATTGAGTAATGAGGACCTAGATGAAAGTCAGGATAAAAGGTATAGATTTTGCATGTGATTGCATAAATATGGGCTCTCACACATCTGGTCAGTAACTGCTCACATAAGGGTCTGTCTATGTGAAGATTTGTGTAGGATCAGTTCAAAATGACATGTTCAGGGGTGTGATATATTGTGAAAACATTCATCATAAAATTTGTTATTTCCAGGAAGGGCAGATAATGTTTTATTTTGGAGGTTTGGTGGCGTTTTTTTTCCAAGTACAAGGAAAGCTTCGTGTCCGCGGTTACAGCTGACGTGAGTGTACAAGAACACTTGTTTCTTTATGTGACAGATTTGCTGCTGTTGTTGACTAATTCCAAGACAGCCATGTATGGTCAAGTGTTATAAGCAAACACTGAGCAGATGATGTCACATGGACAGTTACAAAGTCCTTGAGTGTTTAGATAAACTTGTACATTGAAAATTATGAATAAAACCATTGTAGTATAAGCTGGTAAACAGTTTTTCATGCAGTATTATGGAAATGGGAACTATTAATTGATAGAAAGATTCTTTACTGAAGTTTAAACAAAAACCTTGTTTAGTCATGTTGTAACTCTGCAAAATACTGCTTGCAAATGAGGATGCTGATGAGGAAACTTTAGTCTAACCCTCTAGACAGCTTTCTAAAGAAAAATACTTCAAAACACATTTGTGTTGTAGTACCTCAGAGCAAAGTTATCTTGAACAGGGGGAGTGGGAGCTTCAAGTGTCCAAAGGGCAGTGAAATGCACACTCTGTAAGGGTTGCATGTGGCCTGTTTGTCTCAAACTAAGGGTGTCCTGGTGAGAGAGGCAATGGGTCGAACAGAACTTAAGCTTACAGGTGATGGGGAAGTATTTCTCTTGACAATTCAGTTGTGAATTCTATAACCATGTAACTTAAATACATGCAGCTCATCTTTCAGGTGCTGGTAGGATTCCTAATGCCGTAGTTTGACTCAGGATTGGCAATTAAACCAGTCACAATGATGCTCTTTATCCCTTCCCACTGAGGTAGGGAAAGAAGAGAGATAATTAGGAGAGAGACTTTTCAGATTGAAAACTAAACTAGACTGCTTTAATTAAATACTAATGATAAAAGAAAATACGTACAATTATATGCCAATATGTTCAGAAATGTGCAAAACTGTTTTTGCCTCCCCCCAACCCCACAACTCCCCTAGCATCTTCTCAGCTGGGAGCAGTTCTGAAATGTCCTGGAGCTGCCAGAGAGAGCAGCAGAGCAGACAGGGGCTGAATGGAGAGTTGTGAGGGCTAGGAATGCACAGGCCTAGGGATCAAAGGTGACGGATAGATGGAGTCCTTCCTGGACACTGACCATGGACAGAAGAAGAAGGGATGGTTGCAGATATGATACTTCTGCTCCTTTAGTATCTGAAAC